ACTCTTTCTTTGTTAGCGAATACTAAAATCGGACAACCCTTCTATGTGAAAACAATCATCATCTATTGTTTTTGTTGCGTAGATGGAAAATGATAAACACGAGGATCTGTTTCTTAGTTTAAACTCTGTTCTGTTTCTTTCAGGGGGTGCAAGTGGATAGAATGGAAACTGATCCTCCTGCTCAGGACGATTTTTCACTCGCTTCTAAGCAAGACCAAGAGAGTCAGGAATTTCGTGCAATGCTACACCGAGAAAGGCATCTGTCCGGTCTGACAGAGCAAGCTCTGAAGAAATGTCAACCGCTGATTATATGCAATCTAATGCACGATAAAACACCATTCTTAACTGCTAAAGAGGTGGACGGGCCACAAAAAACGGAACAGATTTGTCTGCAAGCTCTTGCCACGAAGCCATTCCCGGGGTCTCCACTCATCGAGATAATGATTAACAACACAGAAGGCGAGGATCAAGAAGTCGGTAACTCCCCTTGTAGTTACAGCACTCCTCCATCCAGTTCAAATGCAAAACCCATGCTGGACTTAGATTTGCTCGCAGTTGTAAGTGAATTCTACGGGATTTTCTCAACTACCCATTTCAACATCATTGAAGAATGGATTGAATCCAAGTGAATTCAGAAATCTTTGTTTGGTTTTAAAGTTCTAACATCAACTCTTTTTGCTCTCAGGTTTCGATAATCCAATCATGCTCTCAGGGAATAAATAAGGTGGTCGAAGCACTGCAGCAAAAGTTCTCCGATGTCTCAAAGACCCAGTTGAGAAATAAAGTGAGGGAAATATCGGATTTTGAGGATAACCGATGGCAGGTGAGTTGTTAAGTTTCGTATATGATCGGTCTGTCTTTACTATTACCCGTGTTTGGTGTCTGAAAACTTAATCGAACCATCATCAAATGAAGGTCGTATAAACTCCGAGTGAGTTAAACCGAGATAGATTTCGGGATTAATTGAACTATAACACGGCACCCTCAAGTCTTTTTCGGCATTCTTGTGCGAAAAACAGACCAAAATGTTTTTCCAGTACTTTCTGACAGAAGATTGATTCTGGTGCAGGTGAAGAAAGAGATATTGGCAAAGCTGGGATTAACGCCATCGCCAGACAACAAGAGTGTGAAGAGGATGAAGACAATATCATCTTTCTTCTCAAAACGTTGTTTGCCTCCATCATCTCTGAAGCCAAATGGACTCGAGAATGAAAACAACAACTACTAGTCTTCTCTCGTTGCATCTCTTCTTCGTTTTTTTGTACATGGGCTGTTGCTAATCTTCCGAAAATGATATCTTTTGTAATGACAGCAACTCAAAAGCCCTATGCTTGGCTTTTATTGAATAGATAAAGATACAGTAACATTTCAAGATCTTGGCTCCTCTTGTATAACACCCCGCTTCATAACAAGCATAAAAGCAAACGCATACACCAAGTATGAACAAGCAGCTGGCAACATGAGGTATGCCTCTCAATGAATAAGCAGCAGACGAAATCACGAAAACCGCAAAATCAAATAGCGAGAGTTCGAATCTCAAAACTTGATCTGAAGCGGATAAGACGGAAAATCCTTCAGGTCTTCTTCATTTTGCCGTCTCTGCACAACTTTAACATCGTCGTCATCATCAGTCTCTTCCAAATAAGCGTTGTACTTCAACAAGAAAGCGAGCACGAGAACCGCCCACTCCACGCAGAAGATCAGACAGCACAATCCCCCCGCCAGCTTCAGAATCACCGACCCATCGTCCTCTCGGACGTACGATTTGAGGGTCCGGAGAAAATCGCCTGTTCTGGTGAACACCAAAACCGAGACCGACCCTTGGAAGATGGCGGCCAGAACCGTCGATACCATGTGGACACCGTACCATACGTCGCCGATCGCAGCGGCTGCTGCGACTGCGTTACAGCCGGAGACAGCGGTGGAGATTGTGATGACGTGGAGGAGGATGAGGGAGAGGCCGGCGAGTGAAGGGAAGAGGCGGAGAGAGAGAGTGAGGAATATACAACTTGAAGATGAGCACAGTAGTATGTAATTGCACAAGAGGAATATGTTGTGCGTGTTACCCTGTGATTTTGAGATTCCCATCTTGGATTTCGGGTTTTGGAATGAGGTTTTGATGAAATTGAAATTGGGTAGAGAATTTTTTTTAAAATCTTTGGGATTAGGGTTTGGAAGATTTGGGTCTGGATTTTGGGATTAGGGTTTATTTATAGAAGTTGTGATGGGGGAGATTTGGTGGGACGACTAACGTTCATATTTTTTTTAAAATAAAATATGACCGTTGTGATAGAATATCGAATGCTTTAGAGAGAGGCAAACGTGACAACGGCTAGATACCACCGGTATCATTTATATAAATAATGTTTGTGGTCCATATGAAGGCCTGGTTACTGTTTAATACTTTATTTTAAAAAAAAAACACTTAATTAATACACATGCGCACCACACACTTGATATTATTAGGTAAAAAATTATTTTTGCTTCTTTTTTCTTATTTATTTACATGAATTACTTGATTTTTATTAATGATTTTTTTTTTTAAAGTTTTGGGTTATCTTGCAATGCGCAATGTTTCATATAGTTTTTTTTTTTATTTGGTAACTAATGTTTCATACAGTTAGTAGACCTGGATACGCATAGTAAAGGAAATATATATATATATTTTTAATTATTTGATTAACTAATTAGACTACAATTTACAACGTTGGAATTGGGTGTTGTTCTCTATTATTATAAAGTGCTAGAAGATGATACTTGTATTGTAACTTTTAAAATAAATTGAAGTTATTGGGCACACGATTTTTCCTTGAAAATTTTAGATATTAAAGTAATTCTTCGGGTATCCGAATTTCTATTCCTCCACGGACAAAATCCCACGAACTCGGGACTGGATTATCCGGCCGAAAAAGTCGAGAAAGAAAAAGGATACACCGAAAAATTCGGATACCCGATCCATATCAACGCCGGACGCAACTCCGCCGCCAAAAACAAGAACGGTAATGCCAACTGTCTTTGGAACATCTACCGATCATCAGATTTGGTACAACATTATGATACCTCAAAAGTTGTTATACAGCAAACTTAAAGCTCAACAAGATGTATAAATATTATCTAACCATTATTAGCTTGATTTTCGTTCAATCCTTTTTGCCCTTGCTCTCTTCATCACCTCTCAGAAACTTCATGAACCAATAGGCCGAAGATTTCGGATGCCGGGTTAAACCGTTCTTGTAATCAACATATACCAAACCGAACCGTTTGGTATACCCTTGAGCCCACTCGAAGTTGTCCAACAACGACCACGCGAAATATCCCCTCACATCTACTCCATCTCTGCGTCAATTTACACCAAGTTAAAACACTGTAAGCATTATGCACATACACACATATATACATACACATGCATACATATATATCTAAACCCCAAACATTATGCGTCTCGTTGAATCTTAAGTAGAGTTCGTGTCTGAAGGAAGAGTGGAAAGAAGAATGAAAAAAAGAGTGGGCATTAGAGAGTTTTTGACTAACTTGACTGCCTGGGCGACATTTGCGAGGTAACTCTTGAAATATGCAACTCTACGTTTGTCGTCGAGCATCTCGTGGAGAGGGGCGGCCCCGTCATCCTCGTCATCCATACCTGCCACATCACCAACCACATCATATCAATATAGAAGGTTGTATAACAGCTAAGCCCGAGCGAAATTCCAACTTCGCTGCAGAGCAACAGTTTGAAGCAAGGTGAAGCGGAAAAAAGAATACCGTTCTCAGTAATAAATATCGGAGGGTTGTTGTACGTTTGCTTTATGTAATTCAGAGTCTTCCGGATTCCCCAAGGAACAACGTAAAGCCAATCTGAGGCTGCCTGTAATTTTGACATATATGGTTCGGTTATTACACTATTCGATCGTTTTGCCATGCAATGCAATCGGCCAGGAGAACGTGTATAAAGATAAAGCTTGAATGTGCAGAAAGCCAGAGCAGAGAGTTTCTCACCCTCTCGCCTATCGGCTCTCCACTCTCCCATGCAACTGAGAAGAAGAAGAGATTTAGCCAAACGCAAGAAAGATCAAAGTGAAAAAAGAAAAAGAAAAAAAGAGAGAGACTGAGTGTTTGTGTTAGTTACCCATCCTCTGCGTTTCTTGTGCTTTATATAACTCGCTTTCCGCTTGTATGTTCGGGAGATGAGCAATTAACCTTGAAGTGTAGTGATTAAGACCGATGAAGTCCCACGAGTTTTGAAGCATAAACTCCTTTTCTTCCGGCGAGAATGTAGGAAGACGATCTCCGACATTCTGGCGCATACTCGCGGGATAATCTCCACGGTACAAAGGATCTAGGAACCTGTAAAGAGTATTCGACTTTGCTTTAGAAAAATTGGCATATTTTCAAGCCTGCAAATTATATGTTGCATAAGAATTAAGCAAAAATTAGAAGTATATACCATCCGAGCTGAAAATCGATGCGCCTAGCTGCGGCGATCTTGTCTTCCATTTTATCGGAATTAGCCTCTGCCCATTCACAATCAACCGACAAACCAATTTGACCCCCTTGCTTTTCCTGCGAAAAATGCAAATAAACCACAAAGCACACCCGTAAAAATCCATGCTTCTTTATTGACGGGAATAGATACATCCCAAAGACAGCATGATAGGTTCCAAAGGGAAGAGTAAATACTACAACAGGTAATACAAGATGCAGTTAACAGAGAATGACCCAAGTCAGATGTTGTTGAAATCCTAAAACGAGAGATGACGACATGCAAGCAAGGAATAGAACAAATATCACCAAAGTTTACAGAGCTGAACTGATGCAGATCTATTGAAAAATAACTTCAGGTATAAGAACTGTTCTGATTAATCCTATTTTATTTTAGTTGGGTTGCATGCCACATATATTTCATCATCGATAGAACACGAAAATTCGTGAAGAAAGTAAAGAAGGCGAGGGGAAAAAAAGAAAACCAGGCACTTAGAAAACATTGATTACCCGAGACACTCGAACAAACATGCATGCATCACGGAGAAATGATTATACCTTGTATTTGCTTCTGTATACTGAAACAGCAGTAGCATGAGCTAGGACCTGATGATGTGAGACCAAATATGGTTCAATTGATGAATTTGTGTTTCTTCCGGGAGCGAATATCCCGACATCGTGCCCATTAATCGAGGTCTGGAGAGGCTCATTAAGTGTGATCCAATGCTTCACTCTATCACCAAAATTAGCAAAGCATGCATCTGCATACAGGCCAAAGTAGTCTCTGCATTTTACGAACATCGATTTAGTGTCAATCAAATAATCAAGACATAGTTCCACGTCTGAGGCATGTGTTTTTTTATCACGTTGCAAACTAAACTTAGGAAGCAGGGAAGAGCTCATAGGAACAGTAAGAGGTTAGAGATTTTTCATGCTTGGAAGAGTTGCCAATCTGGATAATTGACACTTGCATCGGAACCTTCTACATAGATGGAGTTATGATATCACAAAATTTTGTTGAGTTAATGTTGATAATAGGTGATTTTTCACTCAATCGACAGCAGTCTAATTCACATCTGAACATGGATCGGACCAAACAACAGTACTTATAAAAGTGGAGGCTATTTGCAGAATCTATTAAGAAGTTAGACTGAAGTAGTGTCCGATAAATTTTACTACTTACACAATTTTCCTATTTGTCCACCCTCCCATTGATTCCTGGAGATGCAAGGGAAGATCCCAGTGGTACAGAGTCGCAAACGGTTTAATACCTACAAAAGAAATTATCCCTCATAAAATATCATCCCCGTGAAAAGGAAAAAGATCATTGCAGGTCAAGGCATACCTTTCTCCAGAAGTGTGTCGATAATATTATTGTAGAAAGCAACTCCTTCTTCATTGACATCAGTTCCCAAGCCATCTAGAGGAAAATATGAAATGAATTAACAATATAACACCTATAAATAATTCACGATGTCTTGCAGCCAAACAGGACAACAAACCATGCTCGGAGAGTATCAATACTCGAAAAAGAACATAAGAGAAATTCATTCTCATGGTTCCCTCTGACTCTGGATGTTCTGGGAAAGAATGTCCCAGCATTTTAAAGACAGAGAAACCACAAAATGCCCTCTCGAGTCTCAACATTAAATACATTTTAAATCGTACTGCTACTGCATTTTACTAAACACTGGAGGGCACTCAAAAGGGCAAAAAAAGGAAAGAAAAGACTAAAAAGTTTGTGACAGATGAAGATTTAACCAGTTCATCGATCAACTGTGCCTTATACGCAATGCTGTAAATGAGTAGAATATCTTAACAGTCACGGCCATCGGAAATTATGCAAATAATAACAGCAAATATATGTAAGCATATCCAAATAGTACAACTATTCTTCACCTTCCATATCTCATCATAGGACTAAATGTCTCGTCGCTGAAGCCATCTATCAACACACACACAAAAAAAAAAAGAACAAGCAGAATCTACTGAAACCAACATCTACCAAACATGGATGCACGAAAACGAGAATGGAAACAAGACTGCATCAAATCCGTTATTCAATCAAATTTATGAGAGTTAGAAATGAATTAACAAAAGAACCAATGCTTAAACGACAATCTTGGACCTATGACAAACATACCAGGGAAAATGCGGGACCATGATATGGAAAATCTGTAAGCGCTGAATCCTAATTTTGCTAAAAGCTCAATGTCTTCCTGAAAATTATCCAAGTGGGAATATTATCAATTAGTGATACTGAACCAAATGAAATCTCTGTACCCTTGTAGAAATGCTTTACTCCTTCAAACTTTCATATAAATGCATAAGATAGAGAAAAAAATGACAGGGTTTGGACCTTTTATCTGTGATAGTGATCTACAGCTACGTCGCCATTGCTTC